GACAACCAATCTGCAGCCGTAGATGTTACACGGAGACCAGATGCAGGCCGTGACGCTCAGAATTACCAAAAAGCGAGTGTTTTATGCAGCGTATAAAGAAAATTGCAGATTTGCGATCGCAACTCATGGCTTTTCTTTACCGGTACCGTCACAGGGACCACAGTCAAAGCCCCCGCGCTTTCCAGTGCCGTTACACATCGTACAGTCAGCCATTTTCGGCTATAGAGGCTTGGTAGAATCTCCGAACCCTACTTAATGTCAATATCCGTGCTCTGTGGGTGAGAATGACGTACGAACGTATTATCTGTATCTTTCGGAAGTTATAAGTCTTTTCTTGAGAATTTAGTGGTCTTGCGAAAATGGTCGTTGGGCAAAGCAGAATTTTACGCGATGCCTGATCACATGCCCTTTTGGCACGTGACCACAGCCCATGTCTACCTTGGTGGCCCGGGCTCTCTTCGTGTTCCTCTTTCGACACGAAACCTTATATTTTTCATTATGGATCTTACTCAGTGCCCGGGCCCACCGGCCACGGATACGGATGAATTACGACCTCAACTCCGCAAATTTCTGGTTAGTCTTAGTCGAATACTTTCGGATTGATCAAGCTAACACTATTGCAGGCTCGATTTCAGGAGATCCAGTCGCGTATTGACGATATTCAGTCTGCTGTGTCTGAAGTTCAGTCCAACACCCAGAATCTTCTCGTGGATGTCCAACAATTCTTAAGCCATGACAACACGAAAAGCGATGATACGATACCAACTAGCAAAACGTGTGTGCCTCGAGCAAAGCAGCGATTAAGTTTCAGAAATGCAGAATTGCCAAGCAAAAATGCCGTCTTCTTGGCGGAATGCCCGCATCCGGACTGTGCCAACAAAATAAAGACTCAATTCAGTCGTCGGAAAAACCTCAAGCGACATTATATGTCACGTACATACCCATTCTTTTCCCTAGGCGACGACTTGCGCTTACATGGTTTTAGACCTGACAATCAACGAACCTTGTCTCTTTTGTAAGCACGAGATCACGGATGTGCTGTTTTACGTGACACATTTTAACACGTGCTCAACGAGAAAGAAGCAAGAGAAGGATGGCGTTCTTCATACTGGGCTAGGCATCGAGGCAAATATGAAGCGGCAGAAATTTCTCAAGATGGCCGATAATCAGCTTGATAGGCATCTTTTCGAGTCAGGCATGGTAGCTTTCCGTGCGTCAGCGCGAACGAAGAGGCGACGAAACGTGAATGGAGTGACTGAAGGATCTCGCAAAGAGAGGGTAATAGCCCAACCGGAAACTGACGTTCCTGTGGAACAGAGTACGTTTCTATTTCTCCCACCTGACCACCAATGCTCAAGAAAGTTTGGGGCAACTGTATGAATGGGAAGCCTTTTGCAGCTACTGATGTGAATAGTTCATACTTATCTACCTTCAAACGAGCAAGGAATTATTTGCACTCAAACAATCGAGGAAGGTGAGCAAGGCCACAGCTTCTCAAGCGGCCACGGAGTTAATTACCCAGTACAGGACACGAAGCAAGACCTGGTTCGCCAGGGGTGCAACAGCTGTCACCGACTACGGAGCGTAGTGAACGCCATCCGCTTTCAGAATTCACAGCTATATCACAAACCACATGGAATGATACATCTGGATTGAACTGCCACGACTACAACGGCGCTCTCCCTCTGCGAGCACCTTTTGGCGCTTCCTATACAATGGACGACTCATATGGCGACATCTCTTTCCCGCTACGAGCACCTTTCGGTGCTTCTTATACAATGGACGACCCATATCATGAAGAAACAACCACTTCAACTCAGCCCCAAACGACAAGTAAGCCGTTCCATGACACCCTTGCTCTGGATGCTTTCGTAGGCCCGTATCAAACAAATAAGGCTACTTTCCCGGTACAAACCCCGTGTTCTGACTCATACGGTATGAACGAGCCGTTAGACCAGTTCCATTTGGCGCCGGCGTTGTATGCAGACAGCAGCACCGCAGCGTAATACAGGCTCATCCGCAGCAGCGCTTTCCACGTACAAGCATTAAGCTTACTTCAGACGGCGGATGTGGGCATCACAATACTTTGAATAGACCGTGGTATCGTACTGTTGTACAAGTCGTGGTTTTTATAGCAGGGCAGGATCACCGTTCGTCGATGTCGGGTTCGGAGTCTTGTAACTTAAAATTTAACCCAATTGTGTCGGTCTGCATCGACCTCGCTTTGTCCATGAGTGCTTCAGTCGGTAAACGCATTTTAGCCCAGTATTTCGACTCGTCAGGTATCATGAACCCAAGCATGATGATCTTCCCTCGTAGAATCTTAAAAGCCGACCGTCCATCCAGAATAGCTCTACAGGCGCATTAGCTTCCGTATTAGTGCTCTAGGGAGCAATACTTACAAACCACCCTGTGGCATTACTTCGGCTGTTGGTGTGATGTTAGGGCGTTTAAGATGGTCATCAGGGATCATCAATAGACCATTTGGTGCATTTGTTGCACCCAGTGATTGAAGATGCGATCCGGAATAAACGATTGCTTCCGATGCACTCGACCACAATTGAACGACTAGAATTCGCAACTCCGGTGTTTTGTTGATTATACTATGGTTGAATCTAGTTTGGCCGTACGCTTTGAAAAATGCCAGCTCCGATCGAGGAAAGAAAGACTCGATCACACCGCGGATAAGCTGAAGCACATTAATATAGCTCGCCACACTAGCCGGGAAGTACATTACTCACAGGTTCTTCTAAAGCGAAGCGACATAAATCTAGACCTTCTTCAGTCTTGAAACGAAACCCACCCTTCACGATTTCGTCAACAAGTTCACCAATAATCGGGTTTTCCAGTGCCCAAAACCCGTTCTCAACTACAAACTGCCGCCCTTGTTCCGATGTTGTCGAAGCCATGGCCAGCTAACTACCTTTGTTGAATCGGATCATCACTCGACAATCCCAGAGGACCATTTAACGCCGACGATGACCCTTGGGACTTCAACGGGTAAAGCTCCGATCGTGTTTGCTGCATGCGGGTTTCGCTCGTGTTCGATAGAAGAGGGGTTTATCTTAGAATCATGGTTTTGACTTGAGTGGGTAATTGGTACACACCCCCGTCACGGCAAAATTGCGGAGGTAGCCAGGAGCTAGAGCCAGGAGCTAGGAGCCAGGAGCCAGGAGCCAGGAGCGTTGCCAGGCAATCGTACTTTATCGCGTACCCAGGATACATGGCCATGACGTCATATTGACTCACGAGGTTAAATCGCACATACGTATCAAAGACTGTCGCCCGGGACGTATGTCACATGGAGTTTAAGTGCTTAGGCGCCTGACTCTAAACCAAGATTTCAGGCGCAAATACATGGTCACATGCAAAGGTTCTTGGACCCCAACGATCAAACACAGGTTAATGTCCAAGAACTTGTGTGCAACAATTCGCACGATACAGTATAGCGCTTACATATTCTGTTTCACGACAAGACTTACCAGTTGACATACCACAACACCGAAATCTGCAGAATTAATCAGTGTAAGGCTCTTGCAATATCGATATAGGTACGGTATTGTAACCGTAGGCCAGCCTATTCCAATGCCGCAGAGTGGACGAAGGTGTAACGGGTAGTGCGGGGAGCCCATTTCACTATATTGTCACGTGAATTCCTTATTTGGAAGATCAGGTGGCACAGTCGAGCAGATGCGGAGCAATGCGGCGTATATAATAACACCCTTGCCAGCATATAATTTTTTTGATTTTGTTTTTTAGACAACCATCAAACCGAGATCAAAGACAGCACTGTTTCCATGAAACACTTCATTTTCCCGACTGTCGCAACCATGGGAACGTGTCAGAACTGTGGTGGATCAGGGAAGAAAGGCGGAATGGACTGTGGTCATTGCGACGGCATAGGCAAGGAGCAGTCTTGAGGACCAGCAGCCGCATCCCTGCATTTCAGTGGCATGCATTGGCTGCGGCGATTTCCTTTTGAGCACACTCAAGGCATTATCGAGGTGTTCAAGCGCAAAATGGAATGAGTTGGTTCAGAGTTGTGTCGTGCCGAACACCATGGCTGATGGCTGAGGGAATTGGATGGCTGCGGGAATTCTTCCGACTTCAACACATTTGGAACGGATAGCATGCACCATGGTTCGCCTGCTGCCTCGTCCCACCCTCCCGTACAAGATTTTGTAGCTTTGATTTGCTAGTTCCCTGCATTCATGCAACTCATGGTATTGACTGCGTTATAACTCTGCGACTCCCCATAGACGCCGCCCCTGCGGTTTTTGGATGACGCTCCTCAGTCACTCAAAGCATTGGTCAGCGTGGCTTGGCGTCTTCCAGGCCGTACTGGGTGCCTAGGGGTCGGGTTACATTTACTCACCTACCTACGCATGACGGGCTGAGATAGGAATGGACAGGTTACATGACCAGTCGATGCCGGCCTCTCGTCGGCCTAAAGGCATTTTGCGAACCACTATGACTTACGAACACGCATGGTAAGTATTAACGCAGCAGTTCGAAGGTGAGACCAATCCGAGAACTATTGGCCTGTATTAAGTTAAGCAGCAAAATTTAGGCTCCAAGATGTACAGCAGGGCAACTGTACCCCTTGCGTACAAATAGAACTACATTCGCCCGATAAAGAGCCTTCTACCCATGTCCTCATCCTACACCAACGCGTTCTATGCTCTTAGTCCAACAACCAAGAAAGTAAGCGAGACAAAGAAGTCTATGGGGCAATGTTAACCAGTGCCCAGCTCTCGATATGTCAGACAAAGGCAACTCGAACTCGTCGTCTGGTGTGCAGAAGGGAACCGCAACCCAGCAGCCCGTTTTCGGGTTTTCGATGACAGGGAAAGAGGCGAAACAGCTGTCATCATCCGGCCAGGCCGCAAAAGATGCTAGGAAGAACACAGCATCTCAACCAAGACCTCCGACCCCTCCACGAAAGCAAAGCAGTGGCGGAACGTGACTAAGTGCACCCGGCAGGTCTGAATCAAATATCTTCATGTAAAGTCGGTGAAAACTGCATTAAGTCTCTCCAAATACGTGTCTCGGTCTTGCAGTTTCTTGTCAATGATGTCACAGATGTTAGGGCGCCACAGACGGGCAAAGAATCTATAATCGGCCTTGCTTAGTTCTTCCGGAGAGTAGGAGAAGTAGCTGGGTAATATACGATCGTAGAATATCTCCGTGAAGGCTACTGGATCCTTTACCGTATTCCAGTCCTCATCAACGAAGATGTTACTTCGATGTATATCGGTTAAAGTAAACACGAAAGGGCCGTAAAAAAAGTCTCTCCGGAACATTTGCGGGAATATAGCTCTTGCGGCAGCTAGACTGGTCATCTGGTATAACGCATCGTCACGGCTAGTTATGGCGTTTTGCTGGTAGAGTAGCCGGTTGTCAAAAGCCGCCAAATGCTGAAGGATGAAGTCATCGACGCTAGAGAAGGTTGTGTGTCTGGAAATATTAAGGGGGATGCCTTCGTTCTCATGCATAGTAAACATAACATTCAGAGGACGATTATCTAAATGCAAATACCCGTTGTTGTCCAGTCGGAATGCTCCGATACGCGCCAGGGGAACGCTTGCAAGCGAGAGCATCATCCTAGCGAGACTTCGCTGTAGATTATCTTGGAGACGGACATCGTCACGCTTCTCATCCCAGGATTCTGAAAGCATCTCTCCGGAAGTAATGGTTTGGATAAGCAGGTAACCGATATCGAGGTCGGCAAAGCGGCTAGAGGGATGGCACACGTATCGTGAAGGCTGCGGGAAGCCAAAAGTAGCTAGAAAATAGCGGCGAGCTTGCTGGAACCAGCGCGACCACCACGGAAGGAAGTCAAGATTCGTAAACTACAGGGGATAACATGGTTAGAAACTTAGCATTTAAAAGTTGAGGCACTTACTCTTTGGTTAGTAGACAGCCCAAAGCCGTAAAGCTGGGGTATAGGAACTGCAGGGCAGTTCTCTTGGAGCCAAGCGTATGTTGCAGCCTCACAATTGACCTTCTCATCCGAGTTGCCGGGCCGTACTACTTCTCCAACGCGGTACGGCAACGGAAAGCGGAGCAACACGAACTGTGGGGGTGCTGACTTCGCAGAGGGGTCGATATGGACAGGTATACAAAGATTGAATGATCCATGGCGCCAGTAATCTTGCGAAGAAATAGTAACGTCCGTTGGTTTGGTGCCAAGGTGATGTGCTACGAGATCAGCCAGAAGAGGACGATAGGTCTCCATGCGCTTGTAGAAATTTTCCTTCTGCTGCGGGTATTCCAGAGCGTGAAGAACATTTCTGCTTTTCGCTGTTGCGGCAGATAGAGTGACGGGACCGGAGAGTAGATTGCGAGTCGTCATGGCGGGCCGGATGGCTTAAGAAAAGGAGTAAGAAAAAGTCGGTTGCTCGAAGATATCTAATATTGCTGACTCAGGCTCGTCGGCTCGAAATCAGGCACCAAGAATTTGCTAGGCGGCAGGATCGGGTTAAATTATAGGTTTCTGTCAGGGGGCCACTTGGACAAGTGGCCATTTGGACAGGGGGTCGGCGACCGCTGTTAGCGCCTCCGCGGGGTCGCTAAGATCTCACCGCTAGAATTTCACAGAGCGAACGTAGGTACCCACGTACATACTGTTGAGCCGCTCATTTACAGAAGGTTGGCCATAACTCGTGTCACTCTCGTGGTCCTCCTGTCGGGCAGTAGTCCACAAGAGAAGCAAGAGCGCGTTCCAGCTGAAGGATGCTTAGAATCTGCTAACAGAGCTCATATGTTCACTACCTCCTACCTAGTCCAATTCGCCCTTCTTCGTGTACGCAGCCTAACTTTCTCCTCTCCCGCTCCCATGCGACGTGGCCGAATTTTCTGATCACCAAGTCTTTCGCCTCCTCGATTGCCTGTTCCCCACGCACAAATCGGTTGTAAGCTGGGCAAGATACTTCGGCATGGACAGATTCGTACTCTCATCTGGTGAGCCCTCGCGTTCACGCGGTACCTCCTGCCCATTGACAAGCTTTTCATACTCAGAAAAGAGAGAATGAAGACGGTCAGCGTCCAAGGGCGTGGGTACGGGAGTTCTCTCGGGTTCCTCCTGCCCAGCAGCTACCGGCTGCACGGTGGAGGGAGTTGAAAAGCCCGAGCCGATGTCGAGCTTCTCATCAGTAGATTTCGAGGGGAGCTCGTCAGAGTCGCTGAAGAAATTGCATTCATCGTCATCGATGCCGTCGCAGCTGCTCAGGCTGCTGGGTGACGATGCAATTGTTATCGCGGAATCCCAAGAGGGACAAGGTGACAAACATGAGTGATTTTGAGTCTTGAGCGTTGGGCTCGTCTGTGTCATTATGATTCTGTCCATCACGCACTATGCTAGTCGAAATCATAGGAAAGAAAAAGAAGAGGTGCATGTTGACCAGACGCTTCGAGTCGATCGTGCCCGAGTCGTTTATCCTTTATATAGGCGGAACCCAAGCCATTAACCGCAGCGTTAACTGGGTAAGGACGCAAAAGCTTGACCCGAACTGTCTTCCCAGATTCAATCGGCTCGGCTAACCCAATGGTGCGTGTGTGAGCCTCCCAACCATTCATCCAAGTTCATGAATGGTCCTGGTATGGTCGCTCGCCCCATGCTGAATCTTGTCATTATTCCATTTCCCCCGCCCAAAGAATTCGCATTCTTGTAGTGGTGCTCACTGCTCCACTCCCTACTTCCCCGCCCGCTCTTCCTTCTCTGTCCACCAGGAATCTTCGATGCAGCTAGGCCTCGCCGTGGATGCGGCCAAGAGTCCTCCTGCATCATTCAGCAACGGTAACCTCAGATAACGTATCATCAAAACCTTCGGTGACACATAATGTGGCGCGAAGTCGAGGAGCCGATAATCGAACGATCGCTCCTCAGCCTGTCGTTCAGTAGAAGACAGTCAGCCTCCGACATTCCGCAAACTGGAAGCATTCAGCCAATGCAAGGGAAGATACCAACCAATACGACATCGACGATTCGAGCGAAGCGGCGCGGCGAGATCGACACAATGGATACACTGTAAAAGGACACGGCCGCAGGTCGTGGACCTACGTCGGACGTACTCTGGCATGCTTGGGCCGTGGTATGAGAGCATGGCAACGTGGGCGAACCAATTGGCCCAATGTTCCTAGCCGACTCGAAGGTCAGCTGAAAAGCGTGAGATGACGGAACCAGATGCCCCGGCCAAGCCTCACGCGTCTCGTGAGACACCCGGATAAGGTAAATCTTGCTAGACAATGGGAAGGCTTAGTCGCCTCGACAGCCCCCCAAACCTGACTGCGAGCGTTGAAAATCCTTCGGAACACGCCGAGCACTGGAGGCAACCGCCAGGTCCCTGGAGGCAACCCATCACGAGAGCTGGTCATCACAAACAGGCCATCTTTGCTGGATTTTCCGATAAGAGAAGCACGTCGATAAGCCCCAGTGTTTGTAGAGTTAGCAAATGCTTCTAGGTTACCCGGCAGCAGGTCGTAGATTTATAGATTTGATAGATGGTAGAGAACAGAGGAGCGTTTCTGGGTGACAGGGCGCGAGAATTCGTATCGTGATGATCTTAGCGGAGCGGGACGGCAGCAGCTGAGAGGAGGAGACGTGCATCAAGGACATGGAGCTGCGACAGGAGGCGGAGCCTGTTGAGCCCAACAATGATGTGGCCAGCGCGACCAAAGCAATGGCGGCTTGCGACGCCAAGAGAAATGTGGGAATCGACAGGGTCAATGGAACAAAGGAGGTCGAGAAGAGAAAAAAAAGGGAGTTGGCTTCGGTGGTCTTATAGATTTGTCTAAAGCAGCGGGAGGTGGAAAGTGGGCCGCGGGGGCGGCGCCTCACCCGCGCGGGCAGGCGGTCGAAAACGGCAGCGAATTTGCAACGACTTTACCATACTGCGTGAAACTATTTAACATTACCTTTATCACTCCTCACAAATCCGCTATCCTCGACTTGCAAGTGGCGCAAGTAGTCATACGCGCGAGTAGTCATGGCTTGGATTCCTGCAAATTTGTCAGGAGGTAGGTAGGGCCCGTAACCTTGCTTTGGGTCATACGGACTGACCGAGTTCGTGTGATTTCACCTCCATAGCTCAATCTCTCAGACTTTCCAGAAGCCCTCTTTTACACTATACCGGCATGATGGCACAAACTGCGGGAGTCTGTTCCTTTATTGATCGTCCGTAGACTTTGGAGGAGGTGATACATATCCCGTCCGATTCTGAGTCTGACACAGATAGTGATGCCGAGGTTGTGGGACAAGATATGCCGACGGTGCCCTTTGTACAAAATCAACATCGTGACGACTCGCTTCCTCCTATCTCTGAGTTTGTGGCGTCTCTGACATGCACTCTCCTATGAGATTGTTCGTGGTGCCAGCAAAGTACCTGTGCTTGCCCTGATAAGTCTTCGTCCCAGCAAGTGATAAGAGTTTGTGTAACCCTCCCATGGCTGTGCTTTGAACAGTGCCAAAAATTGTGCCAGCAGTACTGCAGACTGCATTCTCGGCACAGTTCATACATCCCATTTTTGTTAGTTTGTCTTATATGGCGCGAGATCGGAATTTAGCCTCTGCCCCATGCATTGGACCTATTAGGAAGCCACCCTTAATCGTGCCCGCGCCGATTCCGTAGGGAAGTATAAGTTAAGGCGATTCTTGGTCTTCCGTAGGCTTTGGGCGCTGACGCGGCACTTTTAATGGCAGCTTGATTGACATTATTGCCAATATTCTTCCGGTCGACAGTGTGTAAAGTTCCCCTCATGGCGTGTCTTGCATCCGAGGAATATTAGCTGCTGAAACTCTAGAGTTGGTCCGTAAAGGGGATAACAAATGAGAAGGGCCTTCAGATACAAAGGTGTGTCTTGCCGCTAATCACATAGGCAGCCCTCAACTATCGGAGAGAAAACATGCATGGAGGAGAGAACAAGCTTGAACTTCCGAGCCACCTGCAAGACTAACCCACACTCTATTTCATCCGGAGTCAATTGTGAAGCCACGTACAATTTGATTTGTCAACTTGATAGTCTGAGTCAAATGGTGAGACACGGCCAGCAATCGCCGACCTTAATGGCCTTGAAACACTTATGTACACCGAGGCAGAGCATGTGTCAGACCACCGTGGGTTCACAAAAGATTGAGTATAATGGCGCTGAAGGCGCCAATTGTGTTAAATGAGAATTATCTAAAGAACAAATGAAAGATGGATATGAACGCGCTATTTATCTTGTGACCAGCTTCGCCGATTCGGAGAAGCCGTAGCAAGGAGTCGTTTCTGATACCTGCAGTACCACATCGCGGCAGTGCAAAAAGCAATGACTTGCCCCATTTGGGAGGAAATTAATGTCGATCCACCCCACCAGACTCAATTCATTTCCCAGCCATGTCATTCATTTCACAACTATGGTAATCCCATTACACTGTGTAGATGGCCAGCCGACTTCAATAGTTCGGGCGTGGTGGGGTGACGTTAACCACCACCGCCATGTTGTTATTGAGAACCACCTTCAAGAACTCTTGGCTAACCACGCAGGTCCGCGGCGGGCGAGACTCGAATCACGATGAGGAAGAAATCGGGACGAGACCCTAGATCTTTTACAGTGAGTGTTTCCATCATCTCCCGTTGGACCAGGTGCTCTGTGTCATGGGCTCACTTCCAAGAAAGTCAAGCCAAAAATTCTGTATATGACCCAAATCTCTAGCGCCACAATGACGAATAAATTCGACTCGCTAATAAGACATAGTTTAGCATGCCGTTCGAGTCGTGGATGAGCACGACAGTACAGATACCTTTTCATATATCTATTGGGTTGAATGGGCAGATATGACAACCAATTTTAGTCCATCTTTCCTAAAGTATGGACGCTAGCGAGCCAGTATGCTTTTACCGCCGTCTTCTGAGAGTCTCGCGCGAATTTTGACCCTAACATGAGATTGTCCCAATACATTTGGCTGAAAATCATCATTCATGCTTCCTTTGATCGGCGCACTCGGACAAAATATCAAGGCTTCCCCCGTGCTAAGACTTACTATGGTCTCAAATATATCATAGATGGATTCTCCCAACAACCTGCTATCTTCATGCTCGGCATCAGATCTTTTTCCAACAGTTATGGCTATGCGAGCTCGCAGAGCTCTGAGCCACGCAGGTGAACTGAAACGATGTATGATTGTGGTTGAACATAGATCTAGAAGAGCTGGCGCTATGGTGGGCTCTTGCGACGATACAATTACCCGAACCCCGAGGTGCCGCTGTAATCGGACAGCTGACAGCAGTGTGTTCGTCAACGTAAAAGACTCTGGAGAAGTAGACATGTACTAAAGTTGCAAATGTAATGTCAGGTGCCATTCTTTGGTCTTCAGCGTTAGAATACTCACCTTGTGTGCTTCGTCAAGAGCTACCACCCGGCCGCAATTGATTTCTTGCTCTAGAAAGATGCTCAGGCAGACATTAAACAAGGAGCATGCCGTTGCCGGTGTAATACAGGGACAAGAGAGGTCGACTATAGTGAGCAGGCCAGGCTGTGTTGATGTTAGTACAGGTTGATGAGCTTTGAGGAGTACTTACCTCGCTTGCCCAGTTTAACCCTGGTGGAGCCTTTGGGCCTTTCCCCTTTCTTTTTGGTGCCGCTAACGGCATGAAACTCTCCAGTACCGACAGCCGCTGGCCGAGTGGTGCAAGTTGAGAAGGCGTTAAATCAGAGGATAGAAGCAACGACTTAAATTTGGTGTAGCTAAAACGCTCTCCTGAAACTTGCTGGGCTATGCGCATTTCCCTCAAGATACGGTGAATAACATATATGTAAAGAGGAGCCGCCGCATCGTCTTGGTTTACTGCCATAAGATCCAACATACGTTTGGTATTGAGATCCTTGCTGTCAATTTGCAACGGCTCTATATCAATATTCAGGCGGGCGTATGTATCCTGTTAATGATATCAATAACCTCTGAGATCTTCAAAGCTAGTGGGGAAGGTGAAGCTCACCCGGATAGTGGATAGATTAGAAGGTGAGCATAGCACACGGGCTCTGATACCACGCAGTGACGCAAGAAATGCCGCCTCACATGGGGATCCACCGTCATCTGATATAAATGCATCATAGTGAAAGACCAAGGCTGTGAGTGGTTTTTGAAGGTCAGCAGCATCAGAGTCCGTAAGACAATTCTCTAGCAGGCAAGACAACGTATGGCTTTTCCCCGAGCCTTGGGACCCGCAGATGAAGGTACTTGAGGGGGCCATCGTATTGTAGAATAGGCGAGAACTGGACCGCACGAACTCGCCGTCAGGTTGAATGGAGCTGCTACCATTTTCACATACTATAGATCCGAGAAGTCCATATTGAGTAAATGCTGTATGGCTTGAGAGAGTCTGGCAGTGCTTTAGTAGCGCTGGTGTCAAAAGGGGGGAATTTGCGAAGTTCTCGGTGACATTTCTTGGAGTAGGACTTGCTAGCATGCACAAGTGCCGATTAACAACGTAAGCATCTTCGAAGTCCATGTCGTTACCGCGCCAATATCGGCTTGAAAGTTACGCTTCTCATCTCGGGTGTTCTTTGAGGCGATCTCAAGACGTATTTATGTTACTCTGTGGGCGTAATATGAGGTAAAGCGTCGTACAAATGCTATGTTTCACTATGTCCATTGTCGCAATTTCGAATACACCGCCTCTTTATGCGTTGCTTTGCTCAGCTGCTTCCGTTAGACCGCTACCGTAATGTAGCGGCTTTGCAAACAATATCCGGAGGCCAATTGAATGACCATGATTACCTGTCATGGTAAAACTTGAAAGCTCGTATCCTAATAGGTGTTTTGTTTTTTCAGACATCGGATCCAGTAAAGGGTTACATGGTAAGGTTGTTTCTTATCCCCTGTTGCTTGAAATTGCGACTGTTGGCCCCCTGCATGTTGGCCTCCTGCATGTTGGCCTCCCGCATATTGGCCTCCCGCATGTTGGCCTCCCGCATATTGGCCTCCCGCATGTTGGCCTCCCGCATATTGGCCTCCCGCATCTTGCGGTGGCATCTCGCATATCATCTGAACACCCTTGGCATTCCTGCGACGAGGAGGAGTGAGTGCGGTCGTGGTGCTTCTCATAAACTCAGCAAAGACTGATGCATTTTACAGAGGCCACTGGGTCAAGTACTTAAGAGCTGCTTGTCCAAGAGTACAGGAACTACGGATCAGTCACTGCACATAGCAGAAGCTACGATATGACTTTTCCAGAGGCCCCGGAAGGATGCCAGACCAACAATTATTCGACATTGCCCGTCAAACCCGAGAAAGTTGGTCCACCTAGATTGGATCCATACCAAAGACTCATTGCTAGATTATATGAGCCACTTTTTCTGTTAAGAGTGCTCGGGCAGACGCGCAAAAGACACACACCCGGCCCTACGGACAGCACCGAAGAGGAATCATGCCGTCGCAGATTTTTTAGGAATCTTTCGTACATTTGCGACTTCGACAAAGGTGGCTCCTCTTGTACGGCCATCGGTGTTGAAGATGCCGAGAATTCCTACAACTTCTGGGTTGCATCCAATACTGTAACCGGCAATATAGCTTGTTTCCTCGAAACTACCCTGAACTGCTTGAACATTGTGGCCAATATCCCGTTACAGACACGCCACGCCCACGAAGAGGCAATTTTGCAGCGCTGCGTCACATTCGCGGGGCGGCGTATCAGGAAAGATGTGAAGTGCTTACAGAGAGCAGCGCAAACTTGTAAAGACAAGTTGCACAAACGTAACACAATCATGGGTAATTATAGCCTCTATTGTATTTGTCCAAATCTGGGGCTAATTTTCTGAAGATCGAGAGTTTGCCTCGTGGCTTCAGACTGTTATTCACGAAGACGACTCTCTCGCATGTTGTCTTTCCGCTCACGATGCAGCGAAATCTCAGTTTATGGCTACGTTGACGCTGGAAGCACAATCAGAAGATCGACAGAGAGGACCGCTTGATGGGCGTGGGCCCTTCGCTACTGCCAGGCATTACATTGGAAGACTGGGATATCGCATCACTGCTCACAAGCAACTCATCCAAGACGCCTGCAGCCTTGGCTATTTACTTGGGACATTTAATGTCCGCCTTGTCAGCCCTGTTCGCAGCGTCTCACAGCCTCAGCCAGACTCCCACACATCGTTGAACGGGATTCTTAGTCGGATGTTGAAAAAAGGAGATCCGGAAAGATCGGAAATAGAGCGCTCACTCCACAACATAAATCGTCAATCTGATATCTTTCGAGGCTTCATGGAAGAATTTTCAAATTGCAAGCCAACGGTTCATGCTGAGATTCAAGTCCTAGAACACTTCTTTAACAACAAGTTGAGCTTCGTCGCAAATGATAAGTACATTGCCTGCAGCAAAGCCGCTTGTTTTTGCTGCAAGCTGTACTTTCAACACCACCCTGCTCGAATGGTAATTCCTGAATCTCATGAAAAAGTGTGGACAAGTTGGGGTCCTCCTGCTGTGACCTTTTCCCGGAAACACAACGACGAGTCGGACCGCCAGCGAGATATTTTGAACAAGATAATTGAATCCTTACGAACTGATGCGATTTACCAAATCTTGAAATGTTCTCAACCTCCTGTTTGGCATCCAGACTCGCAGACCGCGATGTCGGACATCATCACTTCTTGTAAGGGCCCCCTTTACCCTCAGAGGCGGTTGCTGACGAACGAAACTTTGCACACCAGTTCCAAGAGACAGCGACTCATCGGAAGCAGAATTGGCAATCACCCGAGATTCTATCGCACCTCTCTCATCGATGCCGTCGAATACCAAGAGGAGTACTAGCGAAGCAACTAGATGCAGTGATCTTGTGCTTTTTGAGGAAGACTCAGATGATAACGATGGAGGTGTTCGTATTGATGGCCTGTTGTATTGAACACCTGATGGTTGGCGCAATACATGTGCGAAAATAAAATACGTTGTACGAATATTAGTGGTTTTCAATTGCAAAATTTGGTTGATCAGTCAAACACAAAAAGTCTTTACTCAAAGATAAGAAGTGTTGTGTCTGCATTGAAGAGAAAAGGACACATAGAATGGCATATCAGAGTGGTAGAAATTTGATTTTATTTGCTATTCCCCAAAAGCTCTTTAGCTGCAGATGAAGTAAGGCCGTGTATGTTCGTCAAATGCCTCAACAAATTATCCCTACGTGTGAACGGAGCCTTTTCTTCATCACACCGCGGGCAACGGAAATTGTTGGTTGACATATGATGTTCTCCTGCCCGCAATTTATGGGTTTCAAGATGTCGCATCATGTCACCACGATCTGCCACCGCCAACCGACAAAGCTGGCATACGACTGGTTTGACATGAATGCGCATGTGTCTCCTAATGTGAATTTAGCAAGTTGCTTATCCATTCACAGGCTAAAACGATGTACCTCAGAAGACCCCTCTGCGGGAATCCATGTCTCCCCGAACACTTATCATGCTGACAATAGTACATCCCATCCGAAGAAGCCAGTATGTGGTCGTATGAAGGCATTCCTGTCTCTTCAAAACCCCACATGGGCGACAAGTTGGAGGTTGCCGGGAAAGGATTAAGTCCATACCTCATCTCGCTCCAATCGCAGTTTCCTGCTGTTGCTGGTTGCCCAGCTTCACTCAAAGCCATGTCTGAGAAAGAGACTGAATAGCTGGAGATGTCATTCCTCTACAGAGGGGAGATCTCATCGTCAGTACTCGAGACATTGTGCAGCCCGAAACTGGTGTTATCCAAATTCATGGTTGCATCTGTAGCAGCTAGTTGTAGGTCATAGTCCCATTCAGCAAACATGTAGTTCTCGCCCTCCTGATTTCGGAAAGTCAAGATGCCATAATCCCCCCAGTGGAAATCACCCCAGTCGAACAATGCCTGTTCTGTCATCATCGTGTCGCAAACGTCCAACGGGATCTCAGAGATAGTTTGAACGAAGTCCGATGCCATTTTTCCAAATTTGATGGTTTCTGTGAAGAAGAAAATAAAACCCGTATGACTTGAACACAGAGGGTCCAACATTGAGCTTTTGTCTGCTTTTAATCTAGTGCTTAAATTCGAATCGGCCGCAAGTTGGAACTACCGTGCATCTCGATGCTTGGCGTGATTCTAAATTTCGATTGGACCTGGACGACTGAGCGTCAGTTTTTGTTTTTGTATGGGGTCTGCTATGTCAAGCCATTCTGCCTCCTGCATGGTGATCTGCATTAGTAGTGTCCTTCAAATTGAAAAGGACAAAGATCTCCGACAAGGACCCAGAGTAGTCTCAATCTGACCGCCAATTTTGACGCCCACGGTGCCACCAGCCATAGAGTTGGGGACTTGAGGACACTCTACTGCCAGACATGTCGTTCAGATTTAGTGCATGTCTTTGCCACAGGCTTCTTTCCTCAAAGATCATCCACATCTCAACAAAACCCATCCGCACGATCCGATCTACTTATGTTTCACTGTTTTTATGCGTTATTGGCTTGAGACATACTGGGGTGTGTGAGATGCTTAATGCTCCCGGGGCCATTTCTGATTGGCTTGAGCTTTACAAAATTCTTTAGTGGCCGGCCTCTCGCATTATATGGCTGCATGTTTCTAATGATGCCATAGTATGTTGTTATCTTGTTGGATGCTCAACTTGTGGTGGCGGCTGACTTGAATAGATAACAATGTAGCAGCTACAAGTGTTAACGGTGTCGGTGGGGGCCAAACGACTACCAGCAATCATGATTTGTCGTACCGTTTGGGGCTTTGGGGCCCGTGTCCAGGTTGTGATTTGACGACGTGAGCTCTGCTGAGACCGTAGATGTAGGCCAGCAAGCCAACCTTGCTTGTACGCATCTGTGTGATCACTTATCGGTGATCGCTCTGTGCTGTTTGCAAGGGTGTTGAGCTAATTCTTGCTGGTCATCGAGTCGGGAGAGTTCCCTAGCATGGTACTACACCCCACCTCCCACCAAGCTGTCATGAGCATTGGTTCGGCACCTCGTCTGTGCAATGCCCAAAGCCGGTGTCTGCTATATTTTATCATTGGGCAGCTATGCAGGGTGATACCCCCTCGAGAGTCAAAGGCGCCAGCACGCACGATTTGTGACCTATATTAACGCAAAATCTCGTGAATACTTTCCGGAAAGCTTCCAGTTATCGATACTGCAGGCTCTTTACAATGTCTGCAACAAATTCTGACTCCATTTTGGCGCAGATGATGATGTCGGGCGAATTCAGCGACCTGATTTTCATTTGTAGGGGCCAGGAATTCAAAGTGCACAAAGCCATTGTTTGTGCGCACTCTCCGGTAATCAAAGCTGCAGTCCAGGGAGAATTCGAGGTGCGTCTTCCCAAACAGCAATATTGGGTGGAAGGCGTTTGGCAGACTTACACCAGCAATATAGGAATCGCAAAGCAATGCAATTAAAATGGACAGCTTTCAGCCTAAGACGGTTAAGCGATTGGTTCAATTCATGTATACGGGTGATTACGACGAAACTGATGAATATGAACCATCCGCGGCCTACCAAAACGCTTGCATTGCTGATGGCGTTGGCGCTGAAGAAGGTGAGATCTTATGCCCCAATGATTTGTGTTCAGTCCGTAGTTGATACGAATCAGCCGCCGACATGGAAAATAAGTTTGAGCTTCGAACAGAAGGGGGCTGTATTGCCTCTTCTTCCAGCCAGGGACTTATGTTATCGTTGCCAAAATCAACAACTACTAGTTCGCTTTCGGAGCATATTTATGTGAACTCTATTGGCGATTACTATGGCGTTGATAAACTTGTTTCGTTGACAAACACCAAGATCAAGCAGCTGCTTCAGAGCGGTAATGAAGATGAGTCTTGCGTAGCGGATCTTCCGATCGCCATTGAAGCCGCGGCGGGATTAACCGGAAACAGGGAGTTAATGGGAGTCTTGGCCTCGGCGACTGCAGCGAACATTTCGAAGCTGCTCTGCCTTGATCAATTTAGGGGTATGAGCCTAACAACCGACTTCTCAATTAAAATCCTGGATAGCTGTGCCAATAAAATGGAAGTGTTAGCAAGAGAACAAATTGAGTTAAGAGGTGAGATCAATCGTCAGCAGGAGCAAATAGGTCACCGGGATTTCGAGATTTCCTTACTAAGGAAAAGTTTGGCTACCCTAAAAAGTACTAGCAGGTGCAGAAATGTGAATTGCACGGCTGAATTTCAATGTGTTATCTCCCCGGATGAGTGTATTCTTCGCTGCGCCAAGTGCCGCTGCAAGCACTACCAGGAGTAGTCGATATCTAGTCCGGCATACAGAGTTGAAGGATGACAAGGCCATTTCTTCCGCTGGGGGGAATTTTTATACGTATAAAAGATTCTTCTGGAAAGGGGAAAAAGGGGGGGGGGGGGGGGGGGGGGAAAAACAAAACAGAAATAT